AGACAAAACAAAGACAAATACTAACTTCACAGGCTAAACAGTTTAGCAGTATTGGCAGCAATCGAATGAATTTAATAAGAAATCTAAGTGAAATGGTTAATCTATTATTGAAATTACCAGTAAACTTATCATCAATCTCAATATGAAAAACCTAAAATAATGCAAAAATTTCAAAATAAAACAAAACTAACCCTCGGAGGTTGATTTTCCATTTCTGAATGATTGTGAGGGATTTTTGACTGTGAATGGTTGTGAGGGATTTCGCCGGCGATGGGGACGGAAATCTTCGGAGATGGGGACGGATTTCACCGTAGAGAGTGAGAGATGGAGATGGGACTGAGTGTTGTGATTTTGGGTTTGAGGTTATGAGTTGCGATTACTGTGGACGGTTCAGTTTTCGATTTATTAAGAAAAAATTCGTGTTTGGAATTTGAAAAAAAAAATACGCGTTAATACGAATGGTGCTATGTAAATCGCGTTGCGAAAGTCAGAATCGCGTTGCGAAAGTCAGTATCTCGTTGCGATTTTGTATTATCGCATTACGATAGTAAGTATCGCATTGCGATAGTCAGTATCGCATTGCGATTTTCCCAATTCGCGTTGCGATTTACTTATTCGCATTGCGAATTGGGAAAATCTCAACGATACTGTAGACCATCGCAACGCGATTTTCAACTATCGCAACGCGAAATGCAACGCGAATTTGCGATAATGGAGATCGCGTTGCGAATTAGCGATCGCATTGCGATTTTGTTGTTTATTTTGGCAAATCCGGAAAAAATTGATTAAAATCGTATATTATATGGGATTTTTGGTCACTGAGGTTATTTTCTCTTATTTTAATTGTAATGGGTAAACTGATTTACTTTCCATTTTTGTTTGATTACAATATACAGAATATTAAATGCGTTTATACATGGCTTTGTGTACTTTACGTATATATGGTATATTTATATATGTTAAATGTGTCCCATAATTGGATTTTATATTTTATGATAGATGGTGATCTGTACATATATGCATTATTCTAATTATGGTAATATGTAAATGTACATACTAAACACGTAAACATTTTTTTGTAGGTTTACATTAAATATGTAATTAGCAAATATGCCCAATTTCCATCCATTTTGGAAGTTAACATTTACACTCATTTCCTTTAATATATGTCCATTAAAAGTCTATTATCCATATTTATGTGAATATTTACTTCATTATGATATATATATCATTAATTGCATAATGCATATATATATATATATATACCGTATATATGTTTGTATTAATTGCATAGAATTAAAGTTTTCTTATATTGTTTTATATGTAAGTTGTTCCTTCTTGTATATATATTTGAAGTTGGATTCATAGATTTTGACATAAATACTACTCTCGATGTTTGTATTTTAGTTCATTTTAGTTCTAATTAATCTCGTATGATACCCTCATAAGCATTACTTTACTTAAATCGAAATAAATTGACTAAGGGTGATATTTGAACATTTTAAAATTATAAAAAGAAAATTTCTAATACATGAATATTTAATCCATTTTAATATATAGCATTAAGTATTAATACTAGAACTTATATTTTAAATATGAACTATTAAGTTCCTTAATTTTCATAATTTGACACTCTAAGTTAGAAAAGGCCTTAATTTATTAGTATAATTAAGATTAAATAAAATTTTACTTGATTACATAGTTTTTACAAATCTAAGGCACTGTTCACTTATTAAGGAATTAATAGTATATCTCCCGCGATCGTGCTTAGGGGGTGACTACTGGTAATTCCTTGAACAAGTCAACATCCTTTTCAAAACCACATCATGTTTTCTAAAAACGAGGCAATATTTAGTTATTAGGCACAATAGCTAATCTCCCGCATTTACGCTCGGGGGCGAATGCTATCGGTCTCGATAAACGAATACTCTTTTCAACTTTGCATCCTTAATGATTTTTAAATTAAATAAATATCGAACTCCAAAATTCTGATTTTAAATACAGGATAATCAACAGGGTACCAATTTTTGGGCTCTTGTGGGGGTGCTAATCCTTCCCCACGCGTAACCGACTCCCGAACCTAATTTCTGGATTTTCGTAGACCTTCAAACCCGGTATTTTGATAAAAACAAAAATGTTTTATTAAAAGCATCTGGTTTTTATGGTGTTCCAATCTCACCTTGAATGGTTGGTGGAAACTACTCACCTTTCGAAATGATTTTCAAAGAGAAAACCCCCGAGTCTGTATCGATCTTTTCCCGCTCCGGGCGAGAAACGGTTACGACAGCTTTATTAATACGGACAACTTTACATTATCAATGGCCTGTGCGAAATACTCAATGGTCTTTTTACGATTGGCTTCAATGGATGTTTGAGAACTACGCTGCTTTAAAACATGGGAAAATATTGGTCACTATTTGGGCAATTTGGTATGCGAGAAACAGGTTCTACCACGAGGGCAAGCAAATCAACAATCAGGAAGTTGTTACCTTTATCAAAACTCACTACAAGGAGTTTAAGGGGCTCAGTCATGACTTCACCTTCATTTTTCAGAGGAGCTGGTCCGGTGGAGACCTCCGTTGGAACCAAAGATCAAGGCAAACTCCGATACTCCTTGCATGCAATCAGGGAAAATCACTTGGTCGGGAGTTATTCTTCGTAATACCAAGGGCTTAGTTATGGGAGCGAGTCAAAGGAATTCTCACATTACATTAGTGTTTGCGGTGGAGGCAGTCGCGTCGGTCCATGCTATTCAACTAGCAGCGGAAATAGACCATGTCCGTTTTGAGATTTTAGTGGCCCGGGGTGAATATGAAAAATAGACCTCCAATAATAAGTATTGAAAATATTAAATAATAAGAGTAAGAAAAAATAAATAAATTTGTTTGTAAGTTATTTTTTATTACGTTTAATAAACTATCTAATAACCAATAATCAATTGGTCTAGTGGGATGAGGCACTAGATTCCTTAAGCAAGGTTAGGGTTCGAACCCTAGCGTTTGTGAATAGAACAAACTGGGTTGGGAGGATCTCCCTCACCTATGTAGTACCTTAATTTGGATTAGTCGGTCAATAGATCGGATACCAGTGATTAATTAAAAAAAAAAGCTATCTAATAAATATATCAAATTTTAAATAGAAAACATAAAAAAAAATTTAAACACCCATTACAGCAAAATTGAGTTTTAGCGGCGTTTTTAGGAGCCGCTAAAAGCATTTGTGGCGATAGGAAAAATGCCGCAAGAAGCGCGGACAATACCAACGCCGCTAAAGTTAGTGGCTTTTGAGAATAAAAAACGCCACAATAGGTCAAGATCTATAGCAGCGTTTTTGGAACAAACGCCGCAAAAGGTTATATTTATAGTGTCGTTTCTAGAACAAACGCCGCAAAAGGTCATATCTATAGCGGTGTTTTTGGAACAAATGCCGCAAAAGGTCAGATCTATAGCGGCGGTTTTGGAACAAACGCCGCCAAAGGTCATATCTATAGCGGCGTTTTTTATACAAACGCCGCTAATTACCTTTCTTTAGCTAAGATGATTTTGCATATTTCATTTTTTCTCTACATCACCTAAATTTAATAACATCTAGCTTTATCTAATTAACAACAACCATACATTTTAATAAAGACACAAGTTATGTAGAAAAATACTTAACAATAAAATAAATTAAAATTTATAAATATTAAAAAAATGTATTGTAGTTTTACATTTTAGCTTAGGTAATTCACTCTCCCAAAGAGAAAGTATGCATTTGAAATAGAAGATTTGGCAACTATATCAACATACTATATAAAATTAGTTATGAATGATTCCTATACACAGCTGAAGAGCTAAACAATCATGCTTTCAGAAAACACTTGAAGAAAAAGATCATGCATACTGGTAATAGATTACCAGGCGAGTACTCCAGTAGCACCAAGGAGCAAAAAAATTGATGAGCAAAATTGGATAGCTGCAAGAAAAACCATTCAAAACAAGTAAATAGAGGTATCACCAAGAGTGGCATTTAACAAAGAAAGCACCAAAGCTGGGAACATAACGTATAAATTAAGTGGTTTACAATCTTTGCATTCAACTTACTCATTTACAATTTTGTCAAAGTTATCACTATTCAGTGGTATGGAACCCTAAACAACTTCATCATCAACTTCCTTTTCATGCTAAATGACTTGTGGAACCGGTTCTGAACGATACTCAACACCCGTGAGCCTTAAATCTGGATCTATAGTAAACTTTCAAATTGTTTTTGTTATATTCAACCTGTTCTATTAGCAGAATGCACAAAATTAGTCATTTCATAGTTCACATGTTAAAATGCCACCAAGAAAATACACACAGACAACTTGAAGAACGGAGTAAGAGTACAAATATTGACAGGAAAATATTAACCCATGCAATTATTGTAATTCAGAATTCCTTCCCTGCATGTACCATAACCCATGCAATTATTGTAAGAATAATGCTTCAATGATAGAAAAACCCAAGGGTTGAAACAGATTATCGGAATCAACCATAGAAATGTCCTAGCAAGTGAAACTACTCGTAGGTTAAGAATGTCAAATAAATACTTCAAGAGTTAAAAACCCTCCACCTAGAAATTTTCAGAATTCATTCTCCTAAAACGAGTTACATACGAACATAATACAAGTTCATGGAAATATACGAATATTGTGAATGAAATGAATCAATGTTCATATGTCAAAAGTAAAAACTGACCAAAAAAAAGCTAAATTGCAGCAAACTTAATCTAAGTAGCGGAGACTGGGATAAAGAAAAAAAACCTTTTTTTTTTCATTCGACAATTTAGTTGACCTCTTGTAACCGAAGAGTTAACCTCATCGCTCGGCTCAGCTTCAGTCCAATCAAGAGGAGAGATCCATCATAAAAAAGGTGAATGTTAAAGATAAATCAGCATATGTATGTCATGAGGCATCAAATGAATTTCAATTTCAGCGATAGCAGAAAACAAACAACTGAAGTCAAGAATCGAAAGACTTACTCAACGGCTAAAGCTAATTGCTTGATAACAGATGTTGGAGGAAAGTTATTGGTGTCCACGGTATTTAAAATGTCTACAGAGGGAATTGCTTCTAAAGCCTGTAGGACAACAATCTCATTAAGAAATCCCTTCATTTGAATTTTATTAGAACAGAAAATAGACATTTTAATTCTCATTACAACAACTCTCACTTGCAGGTGAGCAAAAATAAATATAATCATAAATGTACCTTTGATTCCATATCGTTCTTTACTTTTAGAAAGTATAAGTTTTCATCATAGAATGCAACAGCCGTGGTTGAATTTTCAACTTTCTCTGAATCTTCAACTCCTTTTCTCCCTAACCGTATATTCTTGAATCTTTCCTGCCATTCTTGCTTGGTCCCCAAAATTGCAGGCATCCACTTTGAATGCTTTACCATACTAAGTACTCGACAGAATGTTGAAGCCTAGTTTGGTAGCTAGAAAAGTGACGGGAAACTAAATAGTATACAAATTGCAAATCCTCCAATTCGAGTCCAAGCAAACTAAGCTAAACTCTACGACTTTTTTACTCAAATAAATCAAACATACTTCTAAACTTTACTTCATTTTCTCAGCAGCCAAAAACGGTTCCAAGAATCGTCTAAAGATAAAAATAATAATAACGAAAACAGTCTAATCCTACATTTTAGCTTAAAAAGAAAGCCACATTTCAGTTCCAAAGTTCAACAAAAAATTACCTTAGAATCGTCTTCTCTCTTCGGAGATTCATTTTTGAATTCATTCGGATATGATAATTCACAATCTTCACCAAACGAACAGCAACCAAACAAGATAAAAAAAATCTCCCTCACTAATATCTAATAACAATATCATAAAGACCGGAAAATGATAAAAGGAATCTAAAAATAGCAAAGCAGAAAAATAATAACAATAAAAATTTGCAATAGATATTTAAAACCAAAAATATAGAGTTCAAATTTACCTAGATAGGATTTCAAATCAGTAAGAACTCTCTCGGCTTTGGCAGTTGCGGAGTGGAGAGCATTTAGCGGCATTTGTCTAAAAACGCCACAATATATGTACCCTATTGCGGCGTTTGTTTACAAACGCCACTAAAGTACTGATATTTAGCGACGTTTGTCAAATAAACGCCACTAAAGTACTGATATTTAGTGGTGTTTGTCAAATAAATGCCACTAAAGTACGAGTTTTAGCAGCGTTTGTTGAGAAACGCCGTTAATGTTACAATTTAGTGGCGTTTTGGATATAAACGCCACAATATGTACAAATTAAGTGACGTTTTCTTTGAAAACACCACGACAAACGCCGCTATATACCTGTTTTGCTGTAGTGACCCAACTACTCACACAAAATAAACATGACACTCTTTATCTAATTTGTCAAAAAACTAATAAAAATATAATTAAATGAAAAGTGAAAAATATTATAAAAATATCAGATTAACATCGGCGTTGATGTTTTAATGATGGATTATCAACAAATTAAAATGTAACAGTATACTTTTTAAAAAATAATAATTAAATGACCAAAATAAAAAAATAAAATAATAAGTTAATGGAGATTCTCGCTCTATTATTCTGAAGCTATCCTTTTCGGCTTTGAATCGGAATGAAATCAGTGCTTGGATATCGGAAGGACAAGGATATTTAGCCTTCCTTCAGACACGCGAGTTCCAAGAGAAGGTAATCAAGCGGCGCATCTACTAGTAACTGACTCGACGCTCAGAAACGAAGACGTTACATAGATCCTCCATAGATGTTGCTTCGAAAGTTCTTTGTGTAACTGCAGAAAGGCTCAACATTTTTTTCTTCGTGCTTTCTTTATTGTTCGGTCATCACATTTCATCTGGAAAAGAAAGGAAAGGTCGGCAAGTGGGTTCCTGTAACCTTCTTTTATTTTTAATGTTTCAGTTTTATTTACTTAGGAGTTTTAACTTTGCTATCGTTTTTTTAACAGATTCTCTCTATTTACTAGACTATGTTATGTTGGTTTTCACATGCCTTAGCTAGCATGCATTTTGAATAACTTTTGCCCCGACGTTTCAAGTTAAAAAAAATTTATCTTTAAATAAAATAAAAAATACATCTTAGGCTCATGTAATTAAAAAAATAATGTGATTATTATTATTTTTCTCTCTTAATGTGACATTCCAACTCAAGAAAAAAAAATTCAATGCGACTTATTGATCAACGTTTTTCGTCGTTAACCCTTATAATGTTGACTTGACAATTTACAATACTGACGTGACAGTCTATGGTGCTGACATGATAGTCCATAATAGATGATGACATAATGGTTGACATGACATGAGATAAATTATTTTTTTTGTTTTTGTTATAGGGCCAAAATGAATATATATAATAAATTATAAAATAATTATTTATAAATTTTAAATTTTTAATAAATATATATATATATATATTCAATTTTTATTTCTTTAAAAATACACAAGCATAGTTACACTAATATAATTATATGTTTGTTTTTATATACTAAAATATTAAGAAATGTACATACTTACACCATTATAAGTATGTGTTAATTGTTATTTTTTTATGCACGCTGCATGTATGAGTTGTACAACAAAATATCATATCAAATTATTTGAAAAAAATTAATAGAAAACATAAAAATATAACAAGGATAACATTTTATAAAATTTAATCCTAAAAACTAAACGTGTATATATATATATATATATATATATATATAATAAGACTTAAAATAAAATTTATTATATGTATATTATTATTTTTTATAATAGATATTAAACAAATTAAAACCATACTAAAAAATGAAATAAATAAAATAGATTTATAAAAGAATAATCATTTTGAAATACTTTTATTATTTCAGGGACATTCTTGTCTTAAAGAAAGATAATTGTTTAATAGCTATAAAAAAACAAGGAGAATGGCATTCCCTGAAATTCAATAAAAAAAACTATTGTAGGCAATACTTTATTATTCTACGGATGAAATGTTTTTAACTAAACGTGGTATGTGATTTTTGAAAAGATTATTTCTATTAGTAATTATGTTTTTCTTAATCCACCCGTTAGGATTTATTGTATAATATATATTATTATATATAGTAATAAATAAATAAAATAAAATAAATCAAAAAAGAAAATAAAAGAAAATGTTTGAGCTCCCTTCATTCCAAGTTCAAATAGAATTGCTTTAATGCTAAAAAAAAAGTTAAGTATAGAACCGATTCTCAAATTCACTAGAATTTGTAGAATTATCCTTATATTATATCTATAATTTAATAACGGTTGATTATCGATTACCTGTTTATTAAAATTCATAACAATAATAACTAATCGTTATTTTAATAATTTAATTGATTAAAATTATTTAATTTTAACGATTGAATTAATTAATCTATTAAATACAACAATTGATATTGATTAAACGGTTAGAGTTCAAACAACGAACCATAATAAAAAAAATTGATTCGATATTAATTCGGTGCGGGGTATAATCTCACTAACGGCGACCGCTGGGTAAAAAAGTTGATTTAAGAAATGTTAGGTACCGCCAAATGGTCAGGCAATGCTCGATTTGATTGCAACTTGGGATTTACTGCCTCTTGAAATTGAGCCCCAAAGAATTTAGGGATTAGAGATTTTAAATTTTTCGGTAGTTTAAAATTTTAGGATTTTTATAGAAAATAATTATTTTAGATTTTTTAGACAAAATTTAAAAATATATTATATATTTAGCATTGATTAAATAACATATATTTTAACTATGGTTAATGATGAAATACTTAAAATGATAATTTTGAAATGTTACACAGTTAATTGATAAAAAAACTATACACCTAAAAAAAAAATTATAACTTAAAAATCTATTTTTTGATTAAGTCTATAATTATTGATTACTGTATATCGTTGCTTATCTGTGAAATAAATTTATTCACGCAATGACCGGCAGACACCTCTTGGAGGTTTTTTTTTTTAGTTGTAGTCGTGTTTATTTATTTATTTATTTGGTCTTTGGCCTACTATACAGTGTAAAAATGCAATAAATAAGCAAAGGGCTATATATTTGATATATATATAAATATTAACAATTAGCCGATGCTACATTGACCCTGACCTCACCTCACAAGTAACTGAGCAAGAAGCGATAACTTTTCTCATATCTTATTTGAATTAGAAGTTATGCTGTGATGTGGTTAAAATATGGTTAAAAAATAGCGTGATTAATTAAATAAGTGATCGTTTAAAATCGATATCGGAAATGTTATATGATTTCACCGGAAATATTATTTGAGTTGGTAATAATAATGGTAATAATATGTTATGTTGTCGTCCTATGTAAAATGCGCCAAAAAAATATTGACGATAACAATATCGGTTAATTATTGGAAACATTATCAAGCATAATAACATATTAGATAGTGCTTATGTAAAGTAATAGGTAGATTTTTTTTTAAAGTTGATGGGGCCTTAGAAATTCGTCGATAATAAAATAAGTTAATTACTTAATTTGTTATCAGTATTATCAACAAATTAGGAAATTCCTAAAATGTTACCAAAGTTTAAGCTGATGAAGCCTTAGGAATCCGACGATAACATAACCGGTTAATTACTGAATGAAGACCGAACCTATAATCAACTTAAAGTAATATGTTTCGCCATTACACTTCTTGTATGTGTATCGATACTTAAAGATTTACCAAGAGCGGTAGCTTCTGCTCTCATGAAGATCGAACCTAGAATCAACTTCGCCATTATGCTCATATTGCTAAAAAGAACCTGCTGAGTGAAGGGATTTGCACACAACCGCGAGCATTTTATGGGAAACCCCAAGTATGGATTTCCCCGAACATCTCTATTACAGGATTTTAGCGGAGTACTTGGGGTTTCCCATAAAATGCTCATGGTTGTGTGCAAATCCTATCATTCAGCAGGTTATCTTGAGCAGTATAGGCATAATGTCAAAGTTTATTCTAGGTTCGGTCTCCATGCAGAGCATTAACTAATGCTCTTGGTAAATTTTTAAGTGGCAGATTTTTTGTGTTCTACCTCGAGGATATAGGGTACTGCATGTGTAACACCATAACCCGTATCCGACCCGAATACGAGTCCGAGATGTCACATTAACTTTTAAAAATGATATTCTTACAAAATATCAAAACATTTTAACTCATTTTAGGAAAATATCACAATAATCTATGAAATTATGTTTCGTATAAAATTTTGAGTCAAAAACGTATTTATGAACACTAAAATACGGTATGAACAGTACCATAAACAGTGCAATGCTACAGTGCCAAATGTTAAAATTTTCCAGATTATCAGAGGGGAACCGATTCCCCTGCTATAGGGAACCGATACCCTGCTACAGTACTGCTACAGTACTTCCGTAAAATACATATAAATTTATAAAAATCTTAGTTTTCATCTGTATAAAATTTCCATTTATATATATATCTTTAAAACATTACAAAATTCAATCATATGATTTTACAAAACTGATTAAAACATATCATATTCAAATCTTTTATATTACATGCCAACTAAATTCTATATAACCAAATACATGTAATTCAACCATATTTCTGATATGATCTTTGGTAAGTATAACTTACCTGTCTTGTTCCTCTTTACTTCTCTTTTCGCTTTCCAAACCTACGTGTGAAACAATCACACGCTAAGTCGATGACTTAGTGAGGCATATAAAACATATAATATAACCATATACCATTTCATATAAACGAAAGACATGTATCTACAAATACTATCATATCATATACAAGCATATATCATTTCTGTAACATATACCACATACATATATATCCTTATCAACACGTTTAACATTTCACATTCATTATCATTAATCCATTTACCATAAGATCTTGTACTTACCATTTCTGTGTATCATATAACACATATATCTATCCTCACAGAGAAACACATATAATATCATATCATTCCTGTGAAATATTTCATATCACCAAAAACATATACATAACATTTATTATTTTTGTTATTATCTCTTTATTAGCCCATGGTACACTGGTAAGAACTGAAGGTATGTGAGTACATTGAGGTTGTGCACTAATGCTTTCACCACAGCTCGTATAAATTCCCACTAGGGGCACTGAATATTTATCCCGAAGGACCGCGTAGAAATGTCCTGAATGACCACGTAGAAATGTGCCGAATGACCACATATGACATATGTCCCGAAATACCACTCCTTAAGAACCATATACATAATACAATGAACCAAATAAGTGTACCGAAGTACCACATACATGTTCCACAGAATTACATATATGTCCCGAAGGACCACGTAGAATTTATCCCGAAGGACCGCGTAGACCCTCGACTCTTGGCATACCAACTATACCTCTAGATCTCATGACACATAACATGGGCATTATCTTTCATATTTATCACATATTCATATCGTCACATAGTTCACTTACACGTAGAACATTTTTATATAATTCATATTCATATGTCACATAGCTTATACTTTGTTCTTATGCCTTCTCATAGACATATATTCTTTCTCACGTAGTCACATAGGTCCACATCATATAACATATATACATCACATAACTCATCACATAGGCATGTATTCTTATATATTCACATAACTTGGATCGAATATACATGTCATTTCATTATCATTATTATTCTTATCATCCCCATTAATCCCTTTTACTTACCATATTCATATCAAATAACA